CGAGTAGAATTTTCAAAGGAAAATAATAATAATTAAAATTTATTAATCAACTTAAAATAGTTTAAAATTATTAAAAATTAATATTGAATTAATTTCAAAATAATTTTAAATTATACATTTAAATATTCCAAATAAATCTAGTTGAACTACGCGAAAAACAAACTTAGCACAATTGAAAATATTACCTCGATTAATAGAGTTTCTAAATCTTTATAGGCATAGCTCTTCTGTACTCAACATTTTAGAGAGACAGTAGCAGAAAATTCAAGCTAACTAATGCCAGCAGAAAAACAAGAACATTATTGCATGCCTCATTTTAGATGTTCTGTAAATTAAGACAACCAATAGCTTGATAAGAATTTTTGAATGATTCGAGATCAAAACTGGAAAGTTTAACAAGTAAGTTATTATTTCAAATTCGTATTTCAACAGTCAAAGTAATTTGCTTCTCGGTTGAGGAAACGAATTTTTTTACCGTTCAAGATGGCATTTGGTGCACCGGTTCATCAAATGGAAACTTTAATTTCTTGTAAAAATAATCAGATACGAGTTAGAAATTACACAGCTTAAAATATGCCTAGATTAATCATCGACGTCGATTATCGTCTAATAAAACAATTCAGATAAGATGGAATCCGAAATAATGAGCGGCAGTTAGAACCAGTCAATATGAGATATACGCATTAGTAAAAAATTAAATAAATTTGTTAACTTAATTCAAATTCAGTCATCACACCATCCACATCATCAATTTAAAGCTTCAATTAATTTCTTAATTTCCTTCAGACACTAAAGAAGCTCTTGCATATTTACTGCAAGTCACACGAGGTCAAAAGGCTCGAGTGTCGTATTCGCGGAAGAGCAAGAAGTGAAAGGCTCATCAAAGACAAGCCCGCAAAATAACACTAAACACCTCAATAACGTTACGCCAGCCCAACGTTAGGCTTCCTTTAATTTGTCGAATTCAAGCCCCCGGAAAAGAGTTATCGGATGATGTTTTTGGCAACTAGAAATGAAAGCGAGTGTGTTGCCCATCAAACACGATTGCATGGCGAGGAAGTAATCTGGGCGAAGTTCGTGAAATGATAAAGTGGGAAGCTTCAGGATTAAAATTATTTCTCAACTGTGATGTACTTGAATTGATCATCATGTAAAAAATCGTTAGACTTTAGCCATTTTTACAAAAAAACTTTCGTTCACACATTTTTGATTGAATGAAGTCATGACTGATTCTTTACACGTAGATTCAAACCAACGGCACCAAACTTCAGGGACCAAAGGGCAAAATTATCAGCTACTCCTCCAGTCATCAGAACAAAGAAGCTGTAATTCATACCGAGAAATAGGTTAAACTGTGAAGAAGAAGATGAGCTTCCAATCCGTCAAAGAGGAATTCGGTTGATTCACGAGACTCAATGATCGGGAATTATAGAAATTAATTGCAAGGGCGGAGAAGACGGCGATGACAAAAAATTCAAGACGCCGATCATCGTCTCCGGCGATGGCAAACGATTCAGGAAATTGCAGCAATGAGAGAAATGGTCCAGAGCGACGGGCACGCGGCGCAACGTCAACTCATACATCGTCATGAATTGATCCTCGTCTCGGTAAACAAGGAGAAATATATCGACTAAATGGAAGGAGTTTGAACTTTCTTAATCGGGTGTGAAATATATGTGAGCCCTTCTGACAGCAGGTGGATAAAAAAATTAATATTGACGCCCGCAACAAAAATGATTCAAGCATATGAATAAAGATCATGCGTAGTAATTATCTCAAAGCTATGAATCTCTTTCTAATGTGCAAGCACTACTCAATCGATGGTGTTTCATACAAAAAAAAATTATTCCTAAGAGACAAATGATTGTATTTTTTTTAACGATTTGACATTTCAAACCTGAACATAAATGAATACTCAGATGTTGCACGTTTGTATGTCTATCATGCTTAAATAATGCTTATTTAATCTTTAGCAAATATTTACATACCGTACATACGGCGGTACAGAGATAGGAACGTAAAGTGAATGAATACATCACTTTATGATCACATAAAAACTACAAGGATCTGAATTAATTTTCATGCATTATTCACTCGTTGTTGGTTTCGTTCACTGAAGAATGTCATTTATTCTAGGAAACATACATTAGAAGAACCGACCAGGTTTTCGGGACACGCATGTCACGGTAGCTATTTTTAAACCATGTCTGCAAATGCTTCGCGATTTCCACGTACCTAGCTATTTTTAGTCCGAGTTATTTACCATCATATTGCTACACACGTATAGGGTGACGTTGCGTCAATGGGGTGATATACAAAAAATATATCCCTCATTGTGAACTTTTGAGGCGGCTCGACAAACCGACGTCAAGTTGAACTGTGCATGCAGTGATTTTTAGCAGTTGCGATTGCGAATAAACGCGTTGCAGCGAACTCTCCTCCCGTGAATGTGAAGGGATTGCACAAGACCGACTCGTTCATCACTACAGTGCCGACATATTGAAGTTTGTTGCAGAACTTTGTGTTCAGCCTTGACGCGTAAGTTGACGGCCACTGAACATTCCCACAACAATGATTATTATTTGTTCTCAGGTTTGACTTTCAAAATTTTATTTTTTTTTCAGAAAAAACATGCAAGATCAACTTTTAGGTTTTATAACTTTTACATCACTATGATACCTCGCTATGATCAACAAAATTTCCAAGCAGAATTTAGTAAATTTTGGATCAGGATTGATTATATTTCCAATTTCAAACTTAACGACGAACATGAACATCCTACTCCCAGGTATGTTTTGCAAAATTAAGTTCTGATCATCAACGTTGAGACATGAAGCGATACTAGGTATGCGGTTAGCACGTACAGTATGCAGGCAGTGCGCAGACTACGTACAGTATACAGGTAGTGCGCAGACTACGCACAGTATACAGGTAGTGCGCAGTCTACGGACGGACAGTATACAGGTAGTGCGCAGGCTACGGACAGTATACAGGCTGTCTCTTATACNTCAATGAAGTTCAGGGGTGACGGCCGATAAGCGTGAAGAGGATCGAGCGTCATCACTTCCCTCCAGCCATGATCACTGCACTGATTACCCCGAGACATTGTATCACCAAGCTACATCCCTTCAGGCAAATGACGTTGAAATCACCTTGATTACGGTACCAGGTAATTTCACTGGAAAACGTTTAATCAACTTTAATTCAACGTGAGATGCCTGGTAGGATGCGCTTACAAATAACGCTAAGCTGCAGGATTATGATCTTATCCTTATTAATCAGCAGCAGCAATGATGGACAAGAGGAGCATTTTATACTTCATTTTTATTCGTTGATTCCGGTGATTCGGTGAGTAGGAGGTGAGCCTCTAATAAGAACAACCCTTTAATATGAAGATTCTTGTATATGAAACAATGTCAAATATTTGTGAAATCGCGTCTTCTACATGGATTCCTTAAAGAATTTTCAAAAGGACTTTTCTCTCGATCATTTTTCTGGAACTTAAATTTAAATTAAAAAAAAAAAGAGCCCGATCGAGCAGCAGGTAGCAGAGAATAATCCGTCCCTAATGACAAGGTGGCCACTGAACTCGTGTATTCCCATGCCCAGCACGAGAACAAAACCAAGGAGAATGACCTGACTGTGGTCAGATCGAAGACTTGGGGGAAAAATCATCCTGACAAGTGGAAAAAACTGATACGGCCTCTGTAAGCGTTTACGGGACTCCCTGCGTTTATGTGAAGTATCTGCATTTATGGAAAATGCCTGTGTTTATGGTCCATATGCCATGGACCATCCATGCGTATATATGTCCATATATGACCCATGGACCATGCGTATATGTCTATAAATCGACCATGGACCATGTAAGTGGACATGTATGTTTTACCGCTTATGGACATAACGTGCAGTGTCAGCGTTTATGGAGTGTCCTGCAGCGTTTCTGTAAAAAATTTCGTACTTCTCTCTCGGCCGGTTTCTATACTATAAGTTTAACTATATCATCTATATGTAGCTTTAATGCCATCGGGCTACTATTCCAAAACCGGTTACTTATCCCTTTTTAACTGAGGTTTCGAAGAGAAAAAGCTTCGCCATTAATCTTCAAATGGAAAATATTAGGATCCGTACTGTTGACATGCTGAGATTTCGGGCTTGAGAAGTATTGTGAAAACATAGAATTTCAACGCATCTGATTTCCATGATGAACATGATATTAGGTAAAGTATTCAAATGAATAATAGTCTTTTTTCAATAAAATTGAAGCCACTCCCAACATATAAGAATACGGAGATAAATCTGAATAAAATTCCATAAGTATATCGTGAATTATTTGTAAATTTCATTTTTTTAATCAAACATATTATTGATAATTACTTTCATATTTTTCACTTATTTTCATCATAAAAATTTGTCAATTTCGAAAAGAAACCTCGTATATAGGCACATACGTACACGTTTGCGAGACGCAATGGCGGAACGAGCAGATTTCACGTTATGCTAACACGCAATGAACATTTGGAGACGCGGCTAATATTCATAACATTCTTCAATTACATGTATTCACACATGAAGACCTGGTGACCAAAGTTAACATCAGTAGACAAGTGTATAAGTGACAACAATCAGTTGTTCTCACTTAAACAGGTTTCCTTTTGACTAGCTGCTAGAAAATAGGTTGCAATTTAAAATATTTTAGGGGAACCTTATTTCTAGCCGTTATATCCAAGGGAACCTAGGGGAACGTATTTCCACGGGGAACCGTAGAGGTAATTACTAGAAAATAGGCTTCAAGTGGAAATACGTGCTAGAAAATAAATTTCCCTAGGTTCCCGTAGCGATAGCTGCTAGAAAATAGAAAATCTATAGATCTTGTTCGATCTATTGAAAAAAACTAATAAGAAACTTGTCAATAAAACGAATTCTCTGGTCAATGAAACCTGCTTAAAGGAACAAATTTTGCCAGCATATATTAAAATAGAAAATATAAACAAACTCACATATGAGCCATGACATCGTACAAGAAGACTCCGTCCGACAGAGCGCCGTAGGTGAGGCTGCCCCCACCATCGCTCTCAAATGTCCGCACCTGGAAATGAAATTCAAAAATGACATCGAATATCCAATAAGAGCTTCAAATACGATGGAGAATTTCTTTAAAAATAAGCTCAGTTGTCATGTCAAATTCGACCAAATTTTGTATGAAATCGAACAAAAAATTATATAGAAAATAATAAATTACCAGAAAAAATTATGATTTTCCATGAGTCCTTGAAACTCGAACATGACTTAAAATTTATGTTCTATCTAAAAATGAATTTTTAAAAACTAAAATTTTGGTACGCGAGGTCCTTCCTTCCTAGTTGTACACGAATATTTTCAAGGTCAGGAGATTTTGTTGACTATTTTTTTTTACGAACAAATTTTTAACTACCAAACACATTAAAATCGCAACCGTTATCACACGCCACGCACTCGGTCCCAGCGACCCACCGCTAAATTCAAGCAGCGAATTTATTAAAGTTCCCAATTATTTGCGCGTTTATTGATATAAAATGATATACACGATTAGTTGCTAATATGTATTATGTACAATTAATGGTATGAGGATGACTCAAAAAGGGGAACTTTGGGGGGGAAAATTTAGCGGGTAATATTGTCCAAATCACGACACATTTTCAGCTTTTATTGATACTTCCTCTATCCGGCGGGGCCATACTTTCAAAACTAGCAAAGTGAACGTAATTATTTACGTTCTATTTTCTTGTCTGCGATTGATGGATATTGCTTGAAAGGCCGTCAATGATTGGCTGATGAACTTACGATCTCTTAACTTTTTTTGAAAGTATAGGCCCGGGTCAAACTGGGGCAAGCTAAAAAATGGATGGATAAATGAATAAATTTACACACATTTCTCTGAGTACCTACTGGCACTTGATTGACCGCCATCGCGATCACAAAAATTTTGTGAAACTGTGATTTGTCAGATCCCTCGTACAGCCTTAGTTCATCTGTTTCCAACTAGAATTAGATTTACACGAATTTATCACCAATTCAACTGAGTATTCATGCTAGCCAATTATGAACATGATGGAGAATCCTAAAATTAATGGCAGGAACTTGGATCCCAATGCTAGTCCAACAACAGAAGTAATAATAATAAATCAATGTCGCAGGCTGTTGCTATTGTCGATGCCAGCAGCTGAAGTCTGGTGCAAGATATTGCACTTAAAACGAAATTCGTTACGAGTACGGGTTAAATTTACGAATTAGGTTTTCGAGTTAAATGTGCCCAGCCGAAAAATAAAAAAGAAAGCACATAAACGCATTAGAGAATCGCAAAAAAAGTGTTTCCTTCGAGGTTCGTTGTCCTAATTTATTATCAAATTGTTGAGTCGCAAAATTGAATCAAAAACGCAATCAAGAATTTGTGATCCACATTCTTGTCAAGCTTCCTCATTTAATCCAAACTTTATGCGAACATTCGAAATTTAATAAAAGAAGAGAACACAGGGAAATGTACCCTCTTCTATTTTCCTTACTTTTTTCGCTAAGTTGAAAAAATCAAACAGCGCTTGCCTTCCGACACAATACATTTAGGTATAAACAGTTTATTGAACATAAAATATCTTTGACTTAAACCAACAACAACACAATGCAAATTATCTATGAAAGCTATCGATCAATTGTCTTCTATCAGTTAATGCGTGCAAGTTGCAAAAATTATTATCCGTTAACGACAGCTACAAGTAAGGTGTATAATTGTATATTCTTTGATTAAATACACGCATGGATTAAACCTAACATACAATGTACTTCTAAGTTCTAAGTATTACTGGGAATGCTAAAATTCAGGTTAGGTTGAAAAACTTGAAATGTTTGGAACGTTTGTTACCTCGTAATCGTTCTATATAAATGTAAATTTAATAACGGGTTTCCAATAGAGGCACAAGATGTAAGCACGAAGAAGCAACATAAAAAGTTATCCATGGATTTATAATGAAATATTTATTTATGAGAATAAAAAATTATACAAAATTCCAAAACGTACAAATTTCCAGGCAATACTAACCCATGTGACTAGCGGACCATTCATGAACTCCAGCGCGGGATCTATCACCGCGCTTTCCATGATTTAAATTATCACTTTTATCTCACTATACGAACTTAACTCATATTTTAATTTTCCACTGACCACACTCATTAATCACATTGCTCAACACGAGATTAAAACACTAAAAAGGGCACCTGTACCACGTTTCATTAATCTCTACTTAAAACAGCAACACGCACACCCTCACTCAAACACGGCTGCAGTGTAACTGAGGTGTAGGTGTGGTTCCGGCTCCGTTTTTTGAAGAGCAGTCGCGTGTTGCCAGGACGACCGAAGGAGCTACGCAAGCGCAACAAAGGAACTTGCATCAGCTTGAGAACATCGATACAAAGTGGCGACAATTTGATTTCCACGTTCACTTTGTTAGCAACTATGCTGCGAATAACTTGGTGAATGCATTTCTTTTATCACATAGAATTATTTCAGTTTCAGTCGCTTCTTGGAAATAAGATACAGAAAAAGCGACAATTAGTATCGCCTATATTCATCCGTCATCACCAATGTACGAGCTTAATGACGATACGATTCAACTGAATGACTATTCTGACCTACTACGAGAGATTCGGTTATGCCGTAGAAAAGTATGCAAGATATTTCTGTTATCCGAACAAGAAATTTTATATTTTGATTAGGGGAAAGTGGAGATGTCGCACAGTACCCCGGGCGGGGGTACTGTACGACATTTTATTTCATTTGTATTTTTATTATTTCCAGTCAATGGAATAGTTTTGGCAATTGCTTAGGTACTTAGCAATGCAGTAAAGAATTTGATGCTTTGTTTCATTCGACATTTAGAAATGAAGTTAATAGTTTTCATTTTTTTCTTCCATTCATTATCCCCACTTTCCCCTACCGCGATTAATTAACTCGGTTATGACAGCATGAATTAATTTGTCATTGTTCATGCTGTTTGTACATTGAACTTCATAGTGTTGTGTTAAGGGTTTCTCACCATCAAGTCATGTCATCACGACTCAGCTACGTTAATCGTCCAAGCTACGTAATCACTAATGGTGATACGGACGTTTTATTATTAAGAGAAATCGTATTTTGGGCGACTCGACGCTTCGCAATGCCAATCCTTTTTCAGTTAGTGGTAGGTTAAGCCGGTAAAATCTCCTTTCTCTAGATATGCAAAAAAAACTACTAAGTGCAATTGTTCCTGTCCGCAAAATGCGTCCGACTCGTGTTCATCTACACCCGCAAATGAGCCAACTCGTGTTCAATAAAGACTTCAGTCAAGTGATAAGTTTATTTATAAAATTAAACACCATATACACAACAAGAAACGAAATGAACGCAGTCTAAATAATCTACTGATCTACTTTGAGCGCGGTGAACTTTTAGTGCAGAGCATTTAAATCACATACCTAGGAGCAACTGGACAAGCTGGTGGTAGCCTGAGTGAAGCAAGCTACAAAATTTGTCACACATTTAAAATTAGTTTGATAATACGTAATCGCATAAGAGTATTGAATTAAAGAAGGGATTAAAAATGTAAAAGGTATCTAAAATCTAATGCTCAAGAAAAATTGTTACAAATTAATTTTCTTCATTTACCTATAAAAACAGTTAAGATCTAAAAGTTGACCCCGTATAATGATTTCCAACGAAGATGAATGCGAAATTCAAAGTAATAATACGTATTTTTCAACCTCAACAGGCAGTAATAGCATTATAACAGATACAAGTCTCACAAATACCTCGGTTATAAAGCGGTCATCATCACCAACAAGGTTTACGGTCAGGATCAACATAAATGTACAAGATCATAAAAACAAGGGCACTGGGTGAATAGGTTTAATGTAAGGGAGTACCAGTAGGACACTGGCCTTCATGGAGCTAGTGCACGGAGGCTGACAAAGATAGTTTTGTCAGTAACTTGGCGAGAAGGAACAGGCAACTAGTTATTAGTGAACGGTCCCACTTTCGACAAAGAAAGCTAGACGTGAACAAAATTGAATTAACTGTTGTGTTCTAAGGATCTTTGATGGTTTCGGGGCAAACAAAAGAATAAATAACTAAACGGAACAAGTATATACATATAGATAAAATGAATAAAATTATACAATTCTAAATAAGTACAGACTTTTAAAATATTACTTAAGGATACCGTTACAAATTTTGGAAAAGGTAAAATTAACTGTTAATCATACAGTCCAATTCTTAAGTTCGAGTAACTTCAAACGCAAATCATCTGTGAGCCCATATGCTCTGACGAATTTTCGACACAAGTTCGACAAATTTTCGACAAGTTTGCCGAATTTTTGACAATTCAAAATCTTGGGACAACACGGATTTGTTTCAGGAAGATGAATAAAGAATATTGACAATCAAATGACTTAAACATTTCGGAGCAAAATATAAGTAAAAAAAATTCGTAATGTAAACATTACAGCACAAGAAGTTAGCATGACTACGTCAGACAATAAATGGTGAACAAACCTGTGGAAGCACGATACTATCTTACCGAAATAATTCGCTTCTAAGGCATGTGAACAAAATGCAAGATATGGACTGACAGGTAAACTTCGGTGCTAGGGAAGAAGGCTACTGAATGTCGGTGCAAAAATGTTGCAAGAAGCATCTCGATAAATTTCGATTACATCGTACGTGAATCGAAAATGAACATCGAAAATCGAAAGCCAGTACAAAAAACTATAATGAACTCGTGAAACAACTCACGGGTTACTTCTAGCTTTTCGAAAATACCTTCAAAGAGTTAATTATATACAACAAAAATCAAACAAACTACGTAAGCAACACATCCAACGCTTAAATTTACAGCGACCGGAAATTTAAGAAGAACAAAAAAAAATACACAAACTTAGCACCAATCGATTTCAATTCACAACAATTAAGAAATTTTTGCACATACGCAACATTGTTTTTTTTTGGGGTAAACTAAATGTGAATAATCCATCAATTTTTTGGGGGTCACTGGAGGTGCAAAGTAATTTATATAATTTACATTAATTCCAGTCTGTAGGGACAAGTTACAAGGTTAATTGAATTTACTAAGAAATATTTGAGTCAGAAACAAGATACAATTCAGTGCGCAAAGATATTACAAAAAATTAACTTAGACTTTAATTAAAAAAAAGGCAAAATACACATGTTGTATGACAGATTCGCTTTATGGGCACATATAACTGACGTAATTTGGTGGTAGAAGCAAGGATCAAGTTCAACGACGAGAAATAATACAACATTATTTAGTAAACTATTTAAATATTGCAGGAATAGAAGCAATTTTATTGAATGACATTAATTGACAGCTATTTAAACGTTGCAGAAATAAAATCCATTAAACCACATCTCCTGCAGATTTAAGATAAACACTTAGTGTGCCGAAACTCTTCTAAAAACGATGCATCGAAAATAAACAAATATAAGATGAAGATTTCACATGATGACTTGTACAAACTTCACTACTTTATGAATATAAAAATCTTGGCAAGTACCTACAACAGGCAATATATAGAATAAATTAAATAGATTAAATCATAAAATTTTTAAAAACGTAACGTAACAATCAACTTATAATAATGTGTTTTGTCTAGGTATTACTAGGCACAATCAATAACAAAAATAATTCATTCACTATCAGAAATAAGTTCAAACAAATTATCAATTTTAATATCAACATATCTCATATAGTACGTCCCGCAAGAAAATTTTCTGCCTAATAAAAGGTGAACACAACAAACTTGACCACACAAGGAGGCAAACACAGTATGAACTCAGTCAGTCATGAAACGAATTAAATTAATATGCCGAGTAATCACTAAAATTATTACAGGTAATCAAGAAAATGACATAGATCCTTGCACATCCTTTGACAAGTCGTTTTACGCTTCATAATGACAGAAAAATATCTATTTGATGAATTGAAAATATTAACTCGTACTCACTAATCTATTAACAACATAGACTGAACGCTACAAAAGCGCCAATAGCACTTTTTTCGCAGCTAAGGTTCTTCTTCTGCTCAAAATTTCTTTTGAGTCTGCACCTAGTAATTTTTTTCAAGATTTTTGCTCTCATATATGACATTAACGTCAATCAACACCTACGGACCTTCGGCGAAAAAGCTTCGGCATTACGCAGCTCCAGGTCAAGACGATCAAATGCTTCTACAAGGCAGTCATTCAGGCTTCTCTGCCATGGTTAAACTAGTATAAGGTTGACCCATGAGAAGTTTATTTTTGCGGATGTAGTTTGTTGTTCGCCTGTGGCATTGACCTATCACAGGCATTAACCAATCACCAAAATGCGATCAAACCAGTCAACCAATCCGTCATGGGAATGACGGGATTGTTTACATTTCGCGATCTCAGTGACGTAACAAGAAGGCTGATCTGAAAGACGGAGTTTAGTTTAGTGCCTAAATGTTTACTAGCGCTTCAGCTATTAAGCTATCTCGCACCGAAAGTCAAGATGAACATCACCATAGAGGTGGAAGGTCTCAATTATTCATCACCCACAAGGGGCGGAAGGTCTCAGATGTCCAGCCCGCTGAAGCTGGCTCGAAGGAAGCAGCGTTAGCATCTCAAA